ATTGGTACTAGGGAATGGCGTTACAAAATTCGAACGAAACTGAAAGAGATAAAGTTCGCTGCTTGAGAAGTAATAGAATTCTTAAAATGAAAATAAAATTTTATAGAATTACAAATCTTACGAATAGCTAGACAGCAGTCTAAAAAAACATCGAGTAGAGGTTCAACGTCAACAATTGATGAAGACCAAAATTAAGAATAAGCTTATAATTCCTGGTTTCCTTGGCGTCATTCGGAGGGCATGTCCCTCTCTAACTTAAAATAAATATATACATTATTTTTTAGCTTAATACTCTGAAAAATACAGAAATCTCTCCAATTATAAGCTCTTAATTGTAACGGGAAGGTCTTCGGGATTACAGTTTTCTATTTTTTATCTTATTATCGAATAGAAAAATTCAAAACTCGCTTCCAACTTCTTGAAAAAAATATTACGTTTCATAGATTTTGTTGGAAATTGAATGCTCTACAAAATGGTCTCTTAGGTTTTTTTCGTAAATCTAACTGTTTAAATGATATAAACGGTTGAAGTTTTATTATTTTAGGACAAATTTGTGTTTGTTGAAATTTACTGCAGCGAAAGACCTTTGCGTTTCAATCAGAAGTTCATAATTAAAGAAATTTTCTTAGAGGTGTCTAAGAACCTATTTTTCAGAGTACCGAGAAAATAAAATAATTCGTATATTTTGGTCCACCCTAATATACATTATATATTATACATGTATGTATATACATATGTTTGTAGTTATGTTAAAAATATAATGTAACAACAGCCAAAACCGCAACCTGTTGTCATAAATTAGTAAAAAAAAAAAGGATTAACCAATACATTGACAAAGATACAAACCGAATAAATGGCCAACAGCCGAGAGAGCGAATGTCTTTCCGCCTCCACCGGGCCGGTAAACCGCAAATCGTACATGTGTAGATGCATATATCCATTCAAACATATTTACACACATACACACATACAATATGCATAATGAACACGTATTTTGCTACGTGTTAACCCGGTCAATTTAATGTTTACGTAATAAAAATTGTCTGGGGATTACCATAAATTCTGTTAGCAATTAGAATGTATTGTGGAATTTTCGCAACTATGTTAAGAGCATTTTTTATATTTTTTGCGTTAATAAAATATTACGTTGTAATACAAGTGAGCGAATTTGTTGCATATCATTGTGTTTTGATGACTCTGGCAGGTGTTACTGCATACATATGTGTGTATATATGTATGTACATGTGTATCTATATTTTTGTCGATTTTTGTGCAAAGCCAAAAAAAGTCTTACTTTGCAATACATTCGTGCGAAAGAAAAAATTTTTTTAATTGATGCACATTATAATTTTATGTCAAGCTAATGTGTTGAAGTTGGCAATTACTTATATTTTTTTCGATGACACGAGCATCATAATTTAACGACAACCGCAAATTAAAGACAAACGCATATTTAATTTGACAGTACACATATTATACATTTGATTTATCTTCAATTTTGATACGTACGTGCTATGATGCAGAGGATATAGTGAGTGGTTTTCAGCGAAAGCTTGTAAACGACTTCATAAAATCAAGCATATAGTTATATACATATATGGTTACATAAGTAGAATTGAATATATGACTGTACCCAAATATATCAGCAGATCAAATATAATTCGGACTAGTTAGTCCATTCAGACTGCGCAAATCGCACCGATATAAGTTCTTTTCTAGGTTGGTACTAACTTTTTTTTATACTCATTTGAAGTTTGATCTCCATATGTTAGTTAGTGTGTGTGTGTGGCAGCTATTTGTTTACGACGCGAACAGTTTGTCTGTTATTGCAGAAGTGTTTGGGATAGTCTGCTTTAACATGAACACTATGATGGGCATGAAGCATTGAGTGAAGGTCGTGAAGACATCGAAAACTTGTTTCATGCATGTCGTCCATTCACCTCTCTTAATGATGATAACATCGACTAAGCTAAAGAAACAGTACTTGCAATATGTCGTGTTGGTATCAGAGACATAGCAGTGGACTTCGACATAACTTATGGTTTGACTCAATAAATTTTGGTTAATATTTTTAGTATAAAGCGTGTTATTGCTAACATAGACTCCTACGAAAAGTCCTGAATCGTTTGCAAAAAGACGTAGAGTGGAGGTCCCCAAAGAGTTGCCTGAAAACATAGCTGAGAATCCCACATTCATCAAACGTACCATTACTGGTGTCAGGCATGGAAATAAATGTTTAACAATATGTTGTCGAAACTGCTCAACAATCTAGCGAATGGCGTTCCGAAAATGAGTCGAAACCGAAAAAATCAAAAACTGAACGCCATCCTAGACGAGGCTTACAACAAAAAACTGGAAAACTGTATTAAGCGTTGGCATGTTTGTATTGGCTAAGGAACCTACAAGTACTGGCATTTTGAAGTTTATAATAAAGATTTGTATTAAAATTCGTAAAAATGTATTTTTTTAGTCTGGTCAAATTGGTCTTTAAAAAATTGATGAAATCTATTCATATCATATCCTAGATCAAATATCTCGAATGGGAGGAACTCTGTTGAAAGTTTTTCGTTACAATTGGTTCAAACTTTCTTGCATCCATATACTGTATGTTGATTTTGGTCTTTGCAGAGAATACTTATATTCGTCAACATATGAAAAATAGATTTAAATGTGTTTGTTGTCCAGATAAGCGTAAACTCGTACCGAAATCGAGCATAATCTATCTTTAACGGTTTATACTACTCTAAAGCAATCAAAAATTGTCTAATTTCAGGACTGATTTCAGTGATAACAAAGAAAAAAGAAAATTCTGTTTATATACATAGATTTTTTTTCTGGAGGTTCACTACAAAATGGCAGCTATGTAGGTACTCCTCAGTCGAAAAATATTCTCTTGTTTTTGACTGTGGAAAAAAGTCGGCTCCGACCGCGTAGCATATGGTTTCGGTGGGGGTTGAGGAGCAAAAGAAACGCTTTCACTTTATAAATTAGGTTGTAAGTAAGTGATCCTTAGAGATTTTTAAGGCAAAAAAATTAGATTTTCTGAAAGTTCCGGAATGGCATTCACCTTAAATTCCTTTAAGAATAATTCCTCGTTTCTGAGTTAACATTTTTGTACATAATTTCTGCGGATATTTCGACATATTTGCATTCTTCTAATTTTGAAGTATTTTCGGTTTCAAAATTAAGATATTTTGATGCATCTTGGTACAAATGTTTTTTGGCACCCAAGGAGGATTGGTATGACAGATGGGCGGTGTGGACAAATCTTTTTGGCATCCCTATACACCCTGCGAAAATAGGTGAATTCGGATTATAACTCCGCCCACTCTTTATATAACGGTTTTGTTAAAAACTACTAAAAGTGCCCTAAATATATAACTAAATGCACCAGAGGCATACAATTTTACAAACAAGATGGTAAAAAAAGGGCTTTTTAGGAGCTGTTGTCTAATTTTGATGATAGCCTTGGCAAACTCATATCTTAGGATTTTCTCGACCGATTTCAACCAAGTTCAGCAGGTAATATTATCCTGATATTCCTATATTACAGTGTGAAAATGGGCGAAATAAAACAAAAAGCGCGCCTACTTTCCCTAAAACACAATTTTAAATTCCATATGTTTCTTTCATTTTTTCCAGTATACAAATCAAGAACCTATCAGTGTAGCCGAATAAAACTGTACACGAATGGTGCATTTAAGGTGTGCCACCTTATGATTAAAAACTGTTCAAGTCCTAACCTAAATGTCATATGTGAGTTATCTTGATAAAATTGAGAGAACGTATTTTTCTAATAACGGTGCATTTATGTGCCTAACACAGATATAAGCGGATGAAAACTTGCCCTTGGCCCCATATAACTAATATTATATTAGAATTTTTAAACATCCAGTTGACCTTACACCTTGCATATTGATGATGGTAAGTGCGGTACCTTAATGAAACTCAGAGAACATTTTTAAAATAAAGTTTTGCCTTGATCTGAAGATATTTTCCCGGCTTTGATTCTGGCCAGTTGCAAGAGCATGAAATGTTCGGTTACACCCGAACTTAGCTTTTCCATACTTGTTACATTTACTTTTGTGAGTAAGTGTAAGAATAATTGGCAATATACTTTACGAAAGATTTTACTAAATGATAATTCAAATGCTTACATTTTTCTGTTGGCTAACGAACCTCAGGGTAAAGTTTCTTTTGATCGAAATTAACCCGGGTGTTTGACAGTTCTCTTCTTAGTATCATTTTCAAAAGCTTCTTGTGTCTATACAAGTCAATTGACTTGGAAATGATTTCTGACAGGTGCTGTACAATCTCGACTAAAATGAGTTAGGGCAAACGTCGTAGACTACTAAAGGATAGATACCTCTTAGTTTTTTTCTAAATAAGGACAAAGTTGTCGATATGAGAAAATGATTGGAAAAACAGTTAACTAACAAAAATTATCGAATTGTTAAGATGCTTTTTCCAGGTAGGCGATTACCTCTAGCTGAACAAGTGGCTTGGAATATAAAGAATAGAAAATTTCATATAGCACCTGAGAACATAAAAGAACGTTCTCTGATACAACAACACAAGAATGGATAAATAGGATGTATAAGGATGGATATACTTGTATAGGGAGAGTAAAAACAAAAATAGTAAGTATTTTGTTTTAAGAATAGTATTTTGAAAAAACTAATAGTATCATTACAACTTGATATGCAAAAATATGTCGATATGATTAGAGCTTCATATACAAGATTGCCACCAAAGAAAGCTAGATCAATAATTAAACGTGTTTCCTTTAAAACCGTAGTTCTATACCGACCTCAGTCTTGCTGTCCATTCGCTCGCTTTAAATGCTCAAAGGGTTTCTTTGCAGATTGAGAGTTCTGGTACCGACTTAACAACAGATGTATCGGCTTGAGCCAGCGACCACAAAATAGCCCAATTTAGACGGTATATACGGGCTATCTATGTTATGAAACCTAAGTTATGGTTTTTATAATAAACAGAAGTTTTAATTTTTAATCTCAGTTTTTATTAATTTTAATATCTTTGCTTTTAACATTATTTAGGTACAGTAAGCCTTAAAGTTCGAACACACAACCACTAGAGACAGCCTGACGGCAATGCAATAAACACATTCACGGTACAAACTAAGCGAGGTAAATGTTTTTGGGATCGACCACGTGAGCGATCTCTGGTGGATAGATTCTCGATGGTCCGGAATAACGTCTTTCATAGGCCGCTGCGAAAAGTTTACGAAAGTAATTTTACAAATAAATATTTGCTATGGTCGACAATTTTCGACTTACCAATTATCTTCTCAATAGCGGTATGCCAATCGAGCAGCTGTTCACGAGCTGGAGCAGCCTCTGTCACGGACAGACAACAGATGACGGCCAAGAAAAGAGCAAAGCACACTAAGTATTTGTTCATTTTGATTATACAAATTTAGAGTGATTAAAATGGTTTGTTACTAGAACCACGAGCTTGCAAAATACAACTGCAAATGTTATCAAATACAGAGCGCAGCGGCTTATTTATACGAGAAGAACGCATGAGAACGAATGCAGGGCGCTTGAGCATTGTTGTGGCCAACTTCGATCATATTGATAAAATCTATAGAGACTTGTGTTGTTGTTGTTTTTAGTCGCTTTGCTTTTAACTAACGGGATGCGGGACTAAGCGCAAGCGAATATTTCAAAATTCCGAAATTCTAAAAGCTCGCTTTGGCGCGCATAACAAAAATAAAATAATTTAAAAATTTACGAAAAATTAACGAAAAGTAAGAACTTGTTTCCCGTGCCGCTAAAGAACAAACAAATCGCTTAAGTTCAGCAAAAATTGTCAAAAATACCAGCCGTAACAATTATAACAACAATATCAGTAGCAGCTACTAGAGTTAGCGTATGGGCTAACAAGCAGCAGGCGGCTTTTATTAGCAACGGTAAAGTGAAGAATAGACAAATGCAAAATAATGTAAGCATTATAGCAGTACAATAATAATCATTTAGTCACCGTATTCCCGTTCGAAATTTGAAACCATGAGAAATTCAATATATTTTAAATTATTAAATTCATAAATTAGTCTTAGCTTTGGTAATTAGCGATTGGCGTTTAACAGCGCCGTTAAGCAAGCGCAACTGTGCTTACACAAATACTTGTATGTACATACAAACATATATGTGTGTGTTTTATGGGCGATATCAAGTTACCGCTTTTGTGGCTTTTATTATGTTTTCATATTTATTATTGTTGTTCTTTTGTCTTTTATTTTGATTTAAATTTTAATTAATTTTTTAATTTCGTTGCTGCTTTTTAAAGCAGAGGCCTGCCAGCGTTTAAGGCGCTATACCTCTAAGCTAAATTCGAAATTTTCCAGCAAGTTAATGGGAAATAATTGTTTTTGGCGTTGTTGGAATTATTGTTGTTGTGCCAGTGCTTAGCTACATGGCATTAGCGCTCGCCACTTGTTGCCGCCGCCCACTTGCAGTCCTTTGCAAGCGATTTAGATACATTTGCACATACAAACATACATATATACTTAAACATATTTATATTTATATTTATATATATATTGTGCTTTCGTCTTAGCCGCCTCATTTGCATAGGTATGCCGGCGCTTTATTTTGTCTCGCACTTTTTAAATCTTTTTTCACCTTTTTTTTGCAACTTTTTTGTTTTGGTCGCTAGTAAAGTTCTTGTCTAAAATACAACCGGGAATTTCCAATATTTGATTTGTGCTGTTTGCTATTTTAATCATTCAAGTGTAGCAAAAAAAAAATGTATAAAATGTTGTTAGGACAAACGACAACAATCAACGAAATAACAATAGCGCGGCAAGTTCATTGGAGGAGTTTTAAAAGTTTGAAATAACATTTGGGAGTCGAAAGCGCTGAAGAAAAGTAATTGCATAAACCAAGTTGAGTTTTGAAAAGAAAGTAGAAAAAAGGGTAAAAGAAATAAAAAAATTAAAATTAAATTAAAGAAAATATTAAGAAACTAAATATTTATTTAAAAATTATAAAAATAATTTATTAAATTAAAATATGAAAAAACACTGACTTGAAAATTAATCGAAAAAGAATCCAAAACCAACACAAACAACCAAGAAATTCAAAAATAAAATTTTATAAAAAAAATTATTAATTTAGAAATTAAGAAAAATTGAATTAAATATAAATACTTTTAAGACTAAAAAAATAAAGTGAGAAACAAAAAATTATTTGATAAACAAATCGAAAAAATTAAATTAAAATAAAATTTAATTCAAAAACTTAAAAAATTATGAAAAAGTTAACAAAAACCATGTACTCTATATCTATTAAAAAAAAAAAAAATAATAATATAAAAAATAATGAATTCATAAAAAAAATTAAAATATTACCTTTTTCGAAAAAATTAATAAAACTGATAAATATAAAAACATAAACATATTTAAAATTTAAAATTATGAAAAAAACAGACTTAAAATCAATTAAAAAACAAATCGAAAATAAATTAATAAAAACTGATAAATTAAATAAATCCAACTTTATATAATACAATTAACAAATTAAAAAAATTAAACTAAGTGAAACCTGTTACACCAAAGCTAGAATACCCTTAAGCAGCTTTATGGTGAGAAAGGACGTGTGCAAGATTTCAAAACGATACCTCAACGTCTGAAACAGTGGCCGTCTAAAACAACAACAACGGGCATGGCTAAATCGACTCAGCTTATCACGCAGATCATTCATGTATGATATACTTTATATAGTCTCTACGTTTCCTTCGGGATATTACAGATTCCGTGGCAAACTACATGAACCCTGTTCAGCATATAAAAACTTGTGAATATTTAAAAAAATGGCAACATCACTAAACATATGAAAAATTTTAAATTAAAAAAAAAAAAACTTAAAATTAAACGAAAAAAAAACAAGAAATAAAGAAAATTTCAAAAACTAAAGAAATTATATAATTGAAATTAATTTATACAAATTATACAATAAAAGCATAGTAAAATATTTCAAATGGTTACAAAAAATATAATAAATAATAGAAAATCAAAAATGAGTTTAAAAATTAATAAAAGCAGTAACAAAATATTTTAAATAGTTACATATCAAAAAAAAAAAGAAAACAAAAAAATTAATAAAAGCATAAAAAAATATTTGTAAATATTTTAGACACACTGCATCCAGCTATCCCGAATTGTGTCAGGAATAATATATTGAAAGTGAAATTTTTTTACTAAAAATAGCCGAAATTTGTCAACACTGCATATATTAAAATTGTTTTGGTATTCAGAACTAATCACATCAGCTCACCATAAAAGTTGCTAATGAGCCATTAGGTATACATATGTATTATATACAAGAATTAAATTTTTGTGTTATTTATATTTTGGATTTCTTTTACGACTGTTACGTTTTTTGTTTTTCTTCCAGCTTTAAACTACGCATAGATTAAGCTCTAATTCCAGTGACGTCTTTTAGTTAATCACCAATTGTGTTTTTGTTGTTGTTCTTTGTTTTCGTCCAGGCACAGCGGGTTAATGGCGTTATTATGTATTGAATGTTAATTATAATAAACTTATTGTAATGACAAGTACTATATTTCTAAAAAAAAGATAGTGATCGCCAATATTTTTTTGGAGTTTAGAAAATAGAAAGTATATAAAAGAAGCATACAACATATTCATAAATATTTGCCTAAACAATACTTTAATTTAATATCTCTATATATATATCTATATTTAGTAGATTTTTTAGCACAGTAAGCCTTAATAAAGTTGACAGCTAGTTAGACAACTATCCCTCTAGGAAAAGCTATACATTTAAAACAACATCCACCAGCGGAACTTTCAACAGCTACATGGAGGGTTAAAAAATGATTGACTAAATCTCAGGTGATACTTCAAGCTGCCGGAAAACCTGCAGTATCTTCTAGGCAGAAGTCTTTTTGCTAATAGCACAGGAAACGACATAAATATAATAATAAAGAATATCATATATATATACGTCGATAGCAGGTTTTGAACAGACTGCAGGACGGTTGTTAGCCTAGGCAGATAGTCACAGGACGTTATTAACGCTGACACATATAGAAAGTGCAGGGAAGTAGGCATGAGAGAACGTCTCTCCACTTCTTCCGCTTCTGTCCGGCCTTATCTAGAACTTCGCTTAGATATCTAGTAGCTGCTCAATTCAAAGGACATCGAGCGTTAACGTTTAGTCCATCTGGCATTACAAAAGACTTGTATGGCCTGAAAGCCAGCCGGTGTTAACCAATCTAACCTTAAACTACACCCGTTACAAACATAAGCACCATGTTGCATATTAGTAAACAAAAAAATATTTAAAGGTATTTAAATGACATGTTTGTATGCACTTTTAACACAATTTTTATTTTCCTGTTTTCTTTGTGACCTAAATTCTATTAAAAAACGGCGCGGCCAATTAAGCGACGAACTTGTTTTGCTTCTTTTGTTTTGAATGGAAATTTTTTCTTAAAATATTAATTGCATTCGATTTTGAAGATTACTCAAGTTTACTACACGGATGCGGATGAAATTGCGAGTGTCCAAAAATTTGAATTGAACAATGCAAACTCAAGTGGTTCAGGCACAAAGGAATAATATAATAAAATTATTATAATAAAAAATATATATTCTATATATGTGAAAGTTCAATAAAATATATATTGATGAGACATTCGTGTGCTCCCCAAAGAATTATTGTGAAATTTTGATGGACATTTTTTTATTTTTTTTTTTTAAATAATAATAGTTTACCTTAAAAAGCAATACTTCAATATCAATGTATCTAAAAATGGATCAAAGCTTTGGATTGACATTGGGTAGCTATACAGCTGTTCAGTGCTATTGAACCACTCATTATCAAAAACACGAACACTAAAAGCAGTGTACTATAGGTTGTGCTAATGGAATGCTGCTAGTTAAGAAGCACAATAACCATCTATGAAGGTCCTACTGGTTGGGCTATCGTATAGGAAAACATCTATACTTCCACTTGACAACGAGGAAACTGCTTTATGCAGCAAAAAGATACATCTCAGACAATTGAAAACTATTTGGAACATACTAGAAGGGAATCAAAGCTTTCGAATACTAGACGATCGCCACTATCAGCTTTATTTTCAAATTCTCTTAATCCTCTGGCAGTGATTTTGCAGTTCCAAATGGCAATCTCAAAGAAATTTAATAACTAGAAAATTCGTTCAAAAGGTTTATACTATCATTTTTAGTTTGTATGTCAGCTATATGTTATAGTGATCCGATATCGGCAATTCTAACAAATGCGCAGCTTCTTGGGTACGTGTGCAAAATTTCTGATCGATATCTCAAAAACTGTGGGACTAGTTCGTGTATATACAGGCAGATGAATTCCTCATGATTTTCGAGAATACATTAAAATACGATTGCGACTAAATTTAGCACTTCCTTACTTCTTTTGTTTGGCATTTCACCAGTGAATAATAGTGATGACATTAATACGTATGATGCGGGCGTATTTTAATGCTGCTAATTAGCGCTAAATTCCATGCTCTATTGCGCTTTAAACGCGTGGAGCTTCTCGGAATATTAGAAAATAGTTCTATAATAGATAATTTGAAATCAATTTGCCATATGTTTGCAAATATGTACATTGTGCAGTGATAACATTATTGTGGAATTTAATATCAGCTATT